CTCTACCAGGTATGCGCGCGCGTGTTGATGTTGTGGTTTGGGTGGAAGGAAAGGGCGTTATTGTGTGACACTGGCCATGCTCAGCACCGCTCTCACGCGTGGTTTGCTTATTGTATCCATGTCGCGCAGCGTGGCATCTACCCACCAGAGCAGTTTGAGCGGGTGAAGAAGTATGGCCTGACGCTGCTGACAACTGGCGACGAATCGCTCAAGCGCTACGTGAACAACATCCTCACCCAACTCAACAGTACGTTTGGTCGAAGATGGGAACACGTGAAAGCGATGAAGATAAGGGGAGGGAATGGAGGGCGCTAGTTGTGTCGATATAGCAGCTCACACTATGCTTTATCCTTACTGTTCACATTGACAGCATGGCTGATGGAGAAGACGATCCAGAAGGTTGTGCTCGTCATCAGCAGCTCCATGACGTCTGAGGTGTGTTGCTGTTGCCGGTCGCTGTTCACGGTTGCACTGGCGGTGTTCAACTGCTGCGTTCTCTGCCTTCATTCCGCGTCGTTTTGTACACGCTCGTACGCACACTCGCACACATGCACACATGCACGCCTTCTTATTGTCCTTCACGTGCTCTTTGTGCAGGTCATGGAACGCTGGCAGTTTGACATTGAGTGTGACAAGTCCATGGACGAAAACTCGTGCGTATGAATGACTATACGTGCTGCATTGTGTGTGCGTACGTGTGTGTGTGTGTGTGTGTGTGTGTGTGCTTTTTCTCACATCACCGTTCGACTTCCCATGGTTGCACTGCTCTTCTTTCGTTTATGTTTCCTCACACATGCACACGCGCTCATGTTTTGCAGTGTGTCGAACAAGACGGAGAAGGAGATCCATGCTGAGATTCAGGGCATCCTGCGTCAGATCACGGCCAGCGTGTCGTTCCTGCCACTCATTGACGACCCGTGTGCCTTTGAGATTCTCATCTACACCGACAAGGACGTGCTCACACCAGAGGTGCGCGCACTCGTGTGGGTGGATGTGGGTGTGTCTTTGGTTGCGTGTGCAGTTGTATGTGTGTGGGTGGGTGTGTCTTTGGTTGCGTGTGCAGTTGTATGTGTGTGTCTGTGTACGCGCGCGCGTGTGCGTGTGCGTGCGCCTTTGTTTGCTTTGTGAGTCTGTGTTCGTGTCTGTGTTTGTGTCGATTCATCTGTCTGTGTCGACAATGCCCTCACCACAACGCCACATGCGGGTTTTGCTGCAGACGTGGGAGGAGTCCGATGCAAAGCTCGTGCCCAACGCCGCAGAGGTGTTTCCCCTCCGCTCCTTCTCCACAAACATCCATGCGGTCAGTTTGTGCGTGTGTGTGGGGGGCGGGGGTGTTGGGTGGAGGAAGGGAGTGTTGATCCGCCAAGGTGGTGTGCGTTCGTTTTCGCTGAGGCGAGAGGGAGACTTTCAAAGCTCACACACACGCACACACGCGCACACACGCACACACACACACACACATATGTGTTACAGGTCAAGTCATCGGTCATGTACCGGCGCGAAGACTGACGAGGAGACGCGGCTAACAACCAGAAAGCGATGGATTGACATGATTGTTGAGCATGGGCGTTGTATGACTTGGGTGGCATGTTGTTTTGTGGATTCCTACTGTGTTGCAGCCATCGCACGAGTTACATTGAATGAGCGTGCAAGATGGAATGCAGAACCAAGGGCATGTGTGCGCGCGATGGAAGTGAGACATGGTCAATCGCTTTGGGGAGCGCTCACGGGTGCCTGTAACGACAATCCCAACGACCAACAGTTATGTCTTCTGTCATCGGATTGTAACCGTCGATGTACGCTTGAAGATTGGTTGATGCATTTGACGGTGTTTGCGCAAGCACACACACACATACACACACAGTGCTTTTGGTTCTTTCATGTCAATGTCAACCAATGACCAACAGCACACATAAAGTCGGGTTTTCAAATGAAGTCTTGACGTTGTGACCTGATTCGTTTATCAATGAACACGGAAGTAACGTCCTGGACCAACACGTTCGTTCATGTGCAAGCAGATGAGCGATTGTCAAAACCCCCATCAAACCTACTCATACGCGACCACCTAGCGTGGCGCCACCACCACAACAAAACAACAAGAACATCCCTAAACACATCCACCAACTCCCCTCCCCCTCTCTCTCACTCACACGACGCTCATGGTACCAAGATGGTGCTGGATGCCAGCGTCGCTGTCCGCACCATCACCATCGCCACCACCACTGTTGTCGGTATCTCGCCCTCGCCCTCCCCTCATTTCGGGCGTCTGCATGCGGGCGTGCGGTGCACCGACGCGCTCGTTTGCGCCCGTACTGCGGCCAGATCCAGTCCGAACGCTGACGGAAAAGTCAACAGACCTATGCTGCTCACGATCAGCGCCGCCACTGCCACTGCGTTGCTGCTGCTGTTGCTGCTGCTGTTGTGGTGTTTGAACGTGCACTGGCGATTCAAAGACGATGGACGATCGCTTGCTCGTTTGTGATTGCGATGCATGCAGGCTCGTTTCCAACGTGTCAACCGCATCGACAAACTCATCGTCACCGTCACCACCGTCACCATCGTCGCCATCACTGCCATCTTCCCGCTCTTTCTCCGCCTCGTTGGGATTAACAAGTGCAGGCGACGACACGGCAAGGGGCGACATCGGCACAGCAAGATGCTGCTGCTGCTGCTGCTGCTGCTGATCTTGTACGTTGTTGCTGCCTCGCCTGCCAACACCGCCAGTGCGTGTTCGGGCCACTGCCGCGTGCATGGCTGCTGGATTGGAGCTGCTGCGCCGTCGCCTGTCCGGCGTTGCAACGCCCGCATCCGGCTTGAGCGTTTCCCGCGATTGCGTAAAGTAGCGGTCTGCAGCCATCAGTGTCGCCGTGCGGAAGTGCGAGTGGAACGCCTCTCGTGAACGTTCAGAGAGGTCCTCTGCCAGCCGTGAAGGTTTCAGGTCTGGTGCGCTTGGCGCCGGGGATATGGGCCCAGCCAGCCCCTCCACCGCTGTGCTGTGGCGGCGGCGCGAGTGGCTGTAGCGCCCACGCGACCACCGCCGCGAAAACGGGGGCTCCGTTGCAGGATGGCGCACAAACTCACGGCCAACACCACCGCCACCGCCACCGCTGCTGCCGTGACTGCTGACTGGCCGCTGGTTGCTTTGGACTGTGGTGGTACTGGAGCTGCCGTTGTCCTGATCATAACCACCATATCCACCCATCGTGACGTTGGATGGGTCGATGAGGTGGCGCTTACGGCGCGCTGCCACGGACTGCAGCGAGTCCACACCAACGGTGTGACGCCTGCCAGAATCAGCCACGTCAGGCAGTGACGCATAAGATGGTGGCGGTGGTTGCAACAGCCCTGCCGACGGTGCACACTGCTGGTGCTGCTGCTGCTGCTGCTGCTGGTGCTGGTGTTGTTGATGTTGTTGTTGTTGGGGCTTTGCGTGCATATTGTCAATGCCGCTGATCGGGTCCAGGTCATCATGTGTTGCGCGTCGCGATGATGGCGGTGATGGCGTCACGTCAATGCGCGTCGTCGTCGCCTTGCGAATTGGAACAGTCCGCCGCCCACGCCCCGCTTGCTCCTGCTGCTGCTGCTGCTGTTGTTGTTGTTGTTGTTGTTGTTGTTGTTGTTGTTGTCGTTGTTGTTGTCGTTGTTGTGATTGCTGCTGTGATTGCTGTGCTGCAGTGGCTGTTGTTGCTGATGCACCTGCGGTCACCAGCGCTGCTGTGACGTCGTCCCATTCACCGCGCTCACCGCCACCGCCATCATGAACACTGCTATCAGGGTTGGAGCTGTCTGTGTTCATGCTCGCTGCAACGACGCCAAGCGCCGCGCTCGCAAGCTGCATGGACGCAAGCCCGCCTTTCGACGGTGCGTGATGATGATTGCGTGCATGGGCGTCTGTCGAGCCGTGTTCGTGGGACGCACCATCTTGTACCTTCGCTTGCTCTTGTGCCTTCCCGTGCTCTTGTGCCTTCACTTCTTCCTTTGAGCTGCGCTTGTGTGCGTTGCTCCTCCTCCTCTCCGCGTCCTTGTCCTCTCGCTGCTTGTTGCCCTTGTTCTTCTTCTCTGACTTTCGTGTCTTCTTCTTGTCGTTGTGCGTTTGGCGCCGCCGTGACAGCTCGCGCTCGCTTGCCGCCAACTGCGCGGATGACTCGCGCAAATGCACGAAACTGTCCATTCTTCCCGCCGTTTCGATATCTGCGCGGGCAAGACTGCGCTCCAGGTCCTCCAGCTTGAGGTCAAACGCGTCGTCGTCATCCACGCTTCGCCCCTCTGCCGCGTCCTGCTGCTGTCCCGCCTGCTGCCCATCACCGCTTCCACCACTAACACGATCGGCATACTCAAAGTCATCTTCGTCATCTTCATAATCACCGTCATCACCATCGCCATCGTCATCGCCACGGCAATTGCTGAGGTCGAGCACCTCCCCCTCGCTTCGCTGTCTGTGACCATCAATTACCGCGCCGTCATCAGCATCACCGCCAGCAAACACAGACCCACGCCCCTCTTTGTCACGCCATCGCTGACTACCAGCACCACCATGACGACCATCACTACGACCATCACGACCATCGTCGCCCTCTTCGTCGTGTGCGGCGTCAAAGTCCATCGGTGTGAGGTCGCGAAGGTGTTCAATCACAGACTCCACTTCGCTGTCAAGCTCATTCACGAGGTCGTACTCGCGCTGCAGCGCCTGCACTTCTTCGCTGTTTGGCGCACTCCGCTGTATCCGCCGGTCAAGCACCCTGCAGTCGTGGTGATGATGATGATGATGATGATGATGATGATGATGATGATGATGATGATGATGATGATGATGATGATGATGATGATGATGATGATGATGATGATGATGATGATGATGATGATGATGATGATGATGATGATAGTAGTAGTAGTAGTAGTAGTAGCGGTAGGGTAGCCGTGGTGGCAGTGGAGTTGTGGTGAGAATGGTGGAGGAGGAGCGAAGGACTCTTCAAGGCAGAAATCGGGCGAGAAACTGCTGTCATGACAGCAAACAGCAGTTGCAGCAGCAAACGTAGCAAACGCACATTTGCCTGAGATCAATTTGGTCCGCCAGAAGAAACCCAAGCTCAATCACGTGTCGTCGCCAGAACCTGAGCCGTGCGTGACAAGGGTGACAAATGCGAGTGAGGAATGCATTTGAAGTGGTGTGTACAAAGGGAGCACGCCAAGCAATCACACGCACACACATACGTTCACACGTTCGCACGTTCATGCACACATGTGCGCTGCATCACCTGAACTCGACTTTGCGCTTCGCCTCCCACGCGTCGTTGATGTAACCCTTAGCTGTACACAAATACATGCACAGACGCACACGTACGCGCACACACGTGAACAGCAGCACCATGAATGTGAGCACAACAATGAATCATGCGCGTGCCGCAGACATGTCAGCAAAAACACACCACGATGAGAGAACCACACAACGACAATCATGACGCACTCATGTACGCACCAATGGAGTACTTGGTAGCAAAGTGCTGGAACAGAAGATCACTGAGTGCTCCAAACTCTTCCCATGCATCTTGATCATGTGACACCTGCAGCACGCGCTCAAGCAGGCTGCGGCACACACATACACGCACACAGGGAAGGGCAGTCGTCGGTGGGGGTGAGGAAGTTGGAAGTGGTGTGGTATTTTGCATGCCGTACACTAGCACGCGTGCACAGCGTGTATCAAAAAACACGCACACACATTTATACACACACACACACAACACCACCGTCACCGCCACTGCCACCGAATCATAAGTTGACTCACGCGTACGAGCCCTGGCTGCCCTTGCGCTGCGAGGCCTTGATTAATCGCGACACAATCGACGACCGCCGTGCTTTGCTCGCCGGCCGGTGAGCACCACCACCACCACCACCGCTGTGGCTGTTGGGCGTGTCTGAGTGATCTGCCGTGCGATTCAAAAATCGGTCCAAAACGTACATGCGGCACAAATAACGCTTCAGCTTCATGTCCGCCAGCTCGGCTGTTGCCGTCGCAGCGGGGATGGTGTTGCGTGCATGTGTGTGTGTGTGTGTGTGTTTGTGGGGGAGGTGTGTGTGTGTGTGTTGTGGGTTTGCGAGGATGTGTACATGGTTGATGAGCTCGTGGGTGAGAGCACACACACACACACACACACACACAAGCACACACAAGCACACACATACATACACACACACACACATACACACACACCATACAAAACAAGCAAACCATCCCCACCCTCTCAACCAGTGTTTCCCATCACTGACCGTCGAGCCGAAACTGCATGTCCTTGAGCGCGTCCCGCGTGCGCTTTGGACGCTCGATGTCGACGACGATGTTGAAAAGAGTGGCCAGTACCCGCGCTCCAAAGTAGTAGCGCTCATCAAACTGGTGATGGTTCGGGGTGGGCATGGGGAATGGCGTGAGTTGGGGAGTGGGGAGTGGGATGAGCAGGGAGCGGTTGTTTCAGCACACAGTGTCCGCACACACACACACACACACACACACACACACACACACACACACACACACACACACACACACACACACACACACACGCACACATCAGCCAATCAACACCGCGCACATTGTTGATGAATCTGTAGATTGAGCGACGGACGGGTCCTGGCGCCGCGAGCGCTTGGAAGAGCCAGAGGAAAAAGGAGAACAGACGCACAACCAATCCAGCAGCAGCAAAGATGGCCAGCGCTCTTTGGGAATTGGGGGGGGGGAGGTGGCGTACCAGTAGTGAGAGTCGCGATGGCGGTGAGTAGAGCGCAGGCAAGCACACACACACACATACACACACATACACACACACATACACACAAATACACACACACACACATACACACAAATACACACACACACATACACAGAAATACACACACACACACACACAAATACAGAAATACATGCACATGCACATATGAAAGTTGGCTTGGTGCTACTCACGAGACGAGTGAGCGAAGTTCTTTGGATTCGCACATGCTCGGGGTCAGCTCGACAGATATGGCCATACCAAGTACATCCCACGCGATGGACACGGGGGACAGGAACTGCCACGCAGCAGCAGTCAAAGGGCGACGCAGTGGTGGTGGTAGTGGTAGTGGTGGTGGTGTTGTCAGGAATGAAGGAAAGTTAGATCACATGCACAAAAAAATACACACACGCACACACACACACACGCGCGCGCATGACGCGCGCACACACACACACACACACACACACACACACACACACACACACGCATGACACACACCACCGCCACCACTGTGCTGTTGATACCTTGAGCAGCCTGTAGCTGAATGATGACGTGATCTTGTCGTGTCGGACCATGGACAGGAGCCCGTGATACGTAACCACGTCCACCTGTCGCCGCGCACGCAGCGCCTCCTGTCACGTGGTCGTGATTGATTGTTTGGTGATTGGTGGTTGATTGATGGATTGATTGGATGGATTGGTTGATTGGATGAGGGTGAGTGGTGGTTGATTGGTGGATTGATTGGATGGATTGGTTGATTGAGGGTAAGTTATGGTGATTGGTGATTGATTGTTCGGTTGAAGGCACGAGGGACAACAGCAGAGTTGAGTGAGGCAAAGCAAAGCAAATTGGCAGCCCATTTCATACACACACACACACGCGCCACACGTCACACACACCTTCATCCAGTATGATGCAAGCTTGTCCTCCTTTGTCGCTGCGTCGTAATAGCGGAGGGCGGCGCCAACTTGCCGCATCACGTGGCGCTCTAATGGTGATGGTGATGAGGTGGTAGCGAGGAGGTGGTGAGGAGTGCAAGCAAACACACACATGCACGCACACACATACATACATACATACACACATGCACGCACACACATGCACGCACACACATGCACGCACACACACTCGTGCAAACACACACATGCACGCACACACATACATACATACACACACATGCACGCACACACATGCACGCACACACACGCACCGCGTTCGAGGGCCTTTTTCAGTTTTGACGTTTCGCGAGAAACTTTCGCCTTCCACCGCTGTGCGGATATGTGCACGAGCACGCGCATCACAAAGATGAACGCATACAACCCAGCCTTCGTAGTGGACACGAGACATCACATGAGGCGGAGGGTTGTGGCGGTTGTTGGGTGAGGGATGAGAGCAGGAAAAAGAAGAACAACAAGCGTGAGTAAGGGTGAACAGCAAGTGCCAGCCAGCAACAGCGCTTGACCCAGCAGTGACACCACATCCAAATACCAACAACCAATTCGACACCACTCAACATAGTCCTCTCATCCTCCTCTTCACGTCACGTGCGCACCTTCCAAATGAGGTAACTCTGCACGGGGATGGTGTTGTAGAAGCACGGCACGTCCGCCTCCTGAATGCCAACAGCAGCGATGGCCACAAACACGATGGGCAGGTAAAACAGGCCCACCATGTTTAGCGCCATGAGCACAAGCAGCAGCAGCGGCCCGCACAGCGCTGCCGTTGTTGTCCGTGCCGTTGACGGTTGCCGGGTTTGGGGGGGGGGAAGAGGGGAGAGACATGAGGATGAAGTGCATGTGGATGACAAGGAACACAAGTGGGAGTCAGGTGGTGGTCGTCAGGACAGTTGTCAAGGCACACACACACACCCACACACACACACACACACACACACACACACACACCTGCGACTGCGGTCTGGTCGATGCTCGGGTGGGGTTTGTCGTGGATGCGAAACAGAAACGGAAGCACGTGGTTGAATGCTGCCCAACAAGGATGACGGATGTGCCAACACAAGTGACGCGTGAGGAGAGATGCTGATTTGATACTGCTCAAAACACACACACACACACACACACACACACACACACACACACACACACACACACACACACACACACACACACAAACAAACAAACAAACAAACGTGAGCACAACCAACGCGCATTTTCAATCCCCTCCCCTCTCCCGGGCCAATACGCACTGAGGACATCTGGTCCGCTGCTTTTGACGTCACGATCAATGGCCGGATCAAATTGCGACGACGCCCCAGGATAGGTCGTGGCAACGCGGTGCGCACGGGACACAAGCACGTTGAGCTGTATACGCATGCATGCAGGCAACACATGTGAGCGTTGCGCGTGTGTGTTTGTGGGTTTGGGCGTTCCGAGTCGTTGTCGCACGACATACATTGCACACACACACACACACAGTCGCACATACACGCACACACACACACACAGTCGCACATACACGCACACACATACACACACACACACACCCCACAAGAACGGCAACCCACCATCCCCCACCTGCACCACCCACCATCTCCACACCCCACATCCCCCCCCCCAAAGCATCTCACCATCTTCCAGGGTCTCGGCTCCCTGTCCTCATCCAAGACGCGAAACAACACATCCTCGACGTCAAGCCAGAGGGACTGTCCAATTTTCTTCAGTCGCTGCTTCATGCTCTTGTTCTCTCGTTTGCTCTCCTTCTCCTTCTCCTTCTCCTTCTCCTTGTCTTTGTCTTTCGTCTCATTGTCATCACCATCGCGATCATCGCCGTCGCCACGATGGCTCTCGTCTTTCGTCGTCGCCGTCCGTCCCCGTCGTCGTCTTCTTCCTTTACCACTCCTCACGCGACTCACACCACCAACACCATCATCACCACCATCATCACCACCACCATCACCATCACCATCATCACCACCATCATCACCATCATCACCACCATCATCACCTCTTCTTCTTCTGCCCCTCCGCCTGCGTCGTCGCATCTCCTCGTGCTGCACCTGCAGCGATGCCGCCATTCGCTCGCGTGCAAGATGGCGCGACCGGTCAGTGCTCGCCGTCAGGAATTCGTCATCAGAGTCGACAAGCGCGTGCGGAACGGCGGTCCGGGACGCCGACGCTGCCACGGCCGGCGCTATTGTGTCTGGATTTGTGCCAAAGTCTGCGTTGCCAACAGGCGTGTCAAACGATTCATCGTCATCATTGTCATCATCATCATCGCTGCTG